TGAGTTCATGTTCCATCCGTAGGCAATTGCATTGCCTAAAAAATAATTTGCTTTGCACTTGACTGCAGCAGTGTGACAGGCATCTGTGTTTTCACATGTTTGTGTTTCAAGTAAAGATGGAATACGAAGCAGTCAAGGTTTGCAGTATGTTTATGTCATATTGTCAACATAGAAGAGAAATGTCCCTCCCCAGCTGCTCTATCACAAAAGCTCTGCATATGGTTTGCCTGCTGCATGTTTTAAAATCTTAGGAATTCCCGTCTCTGGGGTGCACAGCTCACCCTTCGTTTTCAACTCCCTGAGACACCCACCCTGTTACTACATTTTCTTGACCAGGCATTCACACAGTCTCAGATCTGGACCAGATGCTGACTGGGAGAGTCACCACATCAGCTGATCCTGCTCTGGCAGCAGCAGCTGCTCAGGAGCAAAGGTGGGATGAAAGAACGCACAGTGTAAAAACACAATCACTGACTGCTTCACAGAAAAGGATGGCTTGAAGAAAGGGAAGGCTTTAACCAGTAGTATCAGGGAAGTATCAGGGAGAATTATTAAATGGTTGAGTAGTCTCCCTAGCAAGCTGATGAAGCATCTATTTATCTGTCTGGATTGCCCGAAAAATTAGAAAGTTTGCTACTGGAGGCAAACATGCAATGGCATGCTGAGAGATGCTGTGACCAAATAGATCTTTCTCTTTTTTTTTTTGCTTGACCACTAGTTTTCAAAAGGAACAGTGTCTGTAAATGTTTGAATAGGAATAGGGCTTTTCCTCATCATCACAAACCTCCAGGTCTTTGTTTGATTCCTTCCTTTATTGAATAAGATTATTGCATGCTGAAAAATAGTTGATAATTCATGGAAGATCTTAAAGTATATTATTTGGCTAGACACCTTAAAGAAGTTCTGTAATAAAATTACTATAGAACACTTATCAGAGGCTAGAGGAATGCAGCTGAGTGGGTTTGGTTTGCCCTATTACTATGGATATGCCATCTGTCTGACATAGAACCACTTTACTGGTGAATACTTGCTCTTAGCAAGAAAAGAGTACAGAGAAACCCTGATTATGAGACCACCACAATATAATCTGTCTCCTTTCCCTAAGTTTGTGGTTAAAATCTGTTGGCATATGGCCCAAAATATATTGCCTCTCTTACAGCAGAGCAAAAGTATGCAGGAGTATTTCCTCTAACAATCAAAGCTTCAGTGCAAAAGTAGTGACCCAAATTAACTGTTTGGAAGAAAAAGGTTAAAGGTGTTTTAAAAAAGCATTCCTGACCAAACTGAAATAAATCAGCAAACTTCATCCACACATCCTCCAAACCTGCAATCAGCAATAATTTCATAGAAATAAAACAAATGGATTGCCACATTCCTTCATGTCTATTACACTTCTGTCATCATTGCAGAAATTACTCAGAAATGAAAAGTTGGAAGGAAACTTGGCTGTTGGTAGTAGTTTTATCACTTGTATTACAGCAAACATACTCTCTACAGAAATTTCTGTGATGCACTGTTTCTGGTTCTACTAAGCATGCTGAAATTCTTCATGTGAAAACTCTAAAGCATTTTTCTGTACATAGCAGTAATGAATGAGTTGTTTGGATAAGTGTATTACAGCTTCAGTTGTGCCTAAAAAATTTTAGCCTCCATTCTAGAAAGGAGTGTGTTGAATAGAAGTGCCTTAACATGTACATAAACTGTGTTATTTAAGGTTAAGGTGCTCTCTGGAATTGGGGTTTACCTTTAAAATCCATTTCTGTATAGTCTATTTTGATGAAAAGATCAGTGTTTAGCTACGAAGCAAGCAAGAAATGAAAAAAAACAAACCACCACCACGTTTACTTCTTAGTGTTGTAAGATAGCAGATGGATAGTAAGTGGAGTAAAATTTTAATTATAGCAGAATTAGATATGCTGTCTCTCACTTCTATTTACTTCAAGTTTATAAGAAAATGATGAAGTCAGCAACTTCTAATTAAAACAAAAAGGAAAACTACATTTCTTCACAATTATTAGCTAGGAAGGGAAAAGACCAACTTGAGACCTTTCAAAAAGTATGGTTGTGAAGTAGAAATCGGTTGGACTAGGCTAGGGTTTGTGTTTTAATAAGAGATGTATGTGAAATGGGAGATTATTTGTGTAGTGTTTTCCGTGAGGTTTCGTTGTACTTTAACTTCTTTTGCAAGGAGGGATATCTGGCTCTGGGGAAGCTGCGTTGGAGGATCTCAAGCCTGTAGCAATGACTTGTCAGTTTTGACAGCAGATGGTAGCTGGTGGAGCATGTGGTAAACACCAGGGACAAATGAGAAGCTGAGATGATAACAGAGAGGAAGAAATCAAGAAATCAAGAAATCAAAATTATTAGGAAGAAATCAAGTTGTGTACAATCAGTTCTGTCATAATAAAAGGATTATTATGTATGAAATGTTGTAGGAAATACTGAAATCAAGAAATAGAAAAAGCTCAGAAGGCATTGTTGAAGAGTTTATTACGTTCTGAGAACTGGAGAACATGGGAAAGAGCCTTCTCCCATGCAAGACTCTTCATTACACATTTTTTTCTCCCTAACATTGTGATATGAAAGGGGAAATGCTTTAAACTATTGAATGGAGGGCACCAATGTTTTTATTGTCAAAGCAAACAAAAACATTAATTTGGGAGAGACATGGTTGCATACTCTTCTGTCTCATAAAAAGCAGAATCTTCATTATACTGGTTGAAAACACAGACAATGGCAATGTAAATATTAGAAATGCAGCATTTCAGCTTAACACCTTGGAGACAGTTTGACACTTTGGCTTCTTTGTGTTCTATGCCACTACTACCTTCCTGTAAAACATTTTCTGAGCAACCAATTGCTAACATTGTCTTTTGACAATAATAATGAAATAATGGCTGAAATAATGGCTCAGACTGACCCACAGGGTAATGTAGTGATTCATGAAAGAAGCAGAACCAAATACTGCTGATTCTGCAGTATTTTTGTTGTGCCCAGCCAGGTGCTGTGCTCGGTGAGGCCCTGGACTGGTGCTGCTCAGCAAAGTGAAGCCCCATTTTGTTTTTGTGTCTCTGCTCCCTCTGTCCAAGAGATCATGGCTCCATATTCTGGCAAGAGAACATGGGAGATGGTAGAAGTGGGAAGTGCATTCTGTTCTCTTTTCCCCACTTCTGCTGATCCTGTGTATCTCTCTGTTTTTTTTTTTTTTTTTTGGAAGGCTTGGGGTGAGATGGGGTGCTGCTCACATGAGGACAGTTGATAGCAGACAGTGGTAATCTGCAAGTCATGCCTTACAAAGAGTATGAGAAGGGAAGATGAGCAGGCCAGCATCTTGGGGGCACTACCAGGAAAAGGCCCCAAGGGAAGGTTCAGTCTCTTAGTAAGGCAAGATTGGCTGGGACAAGCACTTTGACAGAATAGAAATTCTGCTCTGTCTTTCATGTCCACTAACATTTCTCTACCTTGGTTATTAGCGTTGATCATGTTAACACCATGATCCTTCCTTTTATGAAAATCAGAGCTGCATCAAATGGTACAAGCATCAAATAGCATAATGGAGTCTATAAAAAACATTCACTTCCTTAAATTGAAACCCCATGTATATTGCAGTAAAGAAAGAATTTGATTATTAATGATTTTACTTCTTCAGTATCTGGGTTCTCCTGAGAGAAAATTAACTCTCAATTACATTTCAATTTGATATAAACAACTTGTGAGAAAAAGCTATTATTTCAAAAGTTGCTATAAGGAGTCATCAGAACTGATGCTAATTCTTTTTTTGTCAAACATATACCATATCCCTGGTATAAATTGCTTAAATACATACTGACAAGTGTTGCTTAGTGTGTCAGCCATACTTAGAATATTGAGCAATGTGGTAATGTGGTGCTATTTGACACTGTGACCTTTACTCTGCAATAAATGCACATGGCACAATGGGTATCAGCTTTTGCATGCCACAATTAAGACTATTTAAATTGTTTCCCTAGGTTCTTCTATGTATAAAACTTTACCAGTAAATTAAATGTGGTTTCCCTCTCATTCCCTCATCTCCCAGCCACATATAATACAGAACACAGAGTTAAAACTCCAGCTGTTTATATTCTGAAAAATGCACATCAGTCAGAAGACAGCAGGGATTTGGCATTTCCCTTTATTAATATACATTTTATAGGGAGGAACAGCAGCTGTAACTGAAAAGAAGCCCACGTGAAATATAAATGATAAGGAGAGGGATAACTGGCAACACTAAAGAGACAGAGGTGGAACAACTGGAGGCAGCACATGCATCCAAACAGCATCCCTTTAGGTATGCTCCAGTTTTCACCAGGCTTTTTCTTAGTGTCTTCCTTACATTTCCCCAAGATTTCATCTTTATTGTTGGCATGTAGCTGACTAAGCATTAAAAACTATCCCTGTTCCCCCCAAAGTAAAAGCAAATTCACAACAGGTGCAATGACACAAAGGGACCATTCTCGATAGAAGTACCTTAAGCTTTGGCTGTAAAATGTAAATATAACCAAAATAATTCTGGAATGCAATTGTGAAATGGGGTGATATTCAAGCTCATAAAATTCCTGCAAGATTCGTATCCTTTGGATAATTTTTATCTATATGGATAAAAAGAACAGAGTCAGTGTGGATGTGTTCTGTTTTTAGTTCTTATTTTAGACAGGCAATGTCAATGCAGTAACAAGGATGAAAAATGTTGCAATTAATTAATGCTGTAAATATTTTGCCTTGCAACAGAGGTGACATCTAGCCATGATGAAAACAAAATTCCAGTAAACGGCTGGTTCATGTGTATGATGTGATTATAACCTGTAAAATAAGTCTGACTCCCAGTATTCTTGAACCAAACTGTCTCCTGTTTTGCATTGTTACAATTGTTCCAAGTAAAATACAAACCCATGTTGGAACAATTCATATCTTTATTAAGCTATTGACAACTTCTATCCCAGGATTTTCACCTAATTCTGCCTTCTTTGGCTCTCTTATAGGTGAGAACACCAAAACATCACCCGAGTTACTAGCTGCAGTCTTTCACACGGAGAGGACCTAGGTACTCATGCTACTGGAAACTGCTTTTCTGGGCTAGAATTTTGGTGACTTTTCAAGCATTGTAATCAGCTGTAGTGAAGAGAATCATTTGAGATTCAGCCATCCTCCATTTTTATGATGCATCAGTGATGTTTAGGTCCTTGCAAATCAGTTGCATTGCTGTTGCTGGTTCACTCCTGTCACAAATCTGTCTGCTATTGCACAGATGTAAGTCACATATTGAGTATCCATTTTCTTTACTGGCTTTATCATACCCACACTACATCAACTAAACTTACCTACGAAGATACCTGCAGAATGTGTCCTTTTCCAGGGACTGATTCTTTTGGTAGGGTGAATTTCTTGATGCTTAGAACAGCTAAAAATAATTTCCTCTTCTCCCCTCCATCATAATAGTTTTGCAAAGTTCTACCCATCCACACATCTCAAAGCAGAACAATTTTTACCTTTTCCTAGTTGTTTGTTTCTTCTTGAATTGTCTCACTTTTCTGAGACTCCAAACTCTTTTTTATCTAACCTTTCTCTTAACTCAAAAGTAGGAAAGATAAGAAAACACCTAAGCCTTTACAGCTGTCCGTTTTTTCCCACAATGAGATTTAAACTTTCCTTCCAAACTTACACATTGTCATAGACCTTTCTCTTGTGAGCTGATTTCTGCTGGTCATAGGGAAAGGCTGAAATCATAGGAATAGTTAATGACCAATACCTTTAGACTGTGACATTTATTCTTTTCTGTAAGTTGAGGTATCATAGACATACACAAGAACTTTAATTCCATTAAATATACTATATGCTCATGGTAGAGGTGAGTGCAGTGAAAGACGTAAAAATGGTGATCTTTCAAACTTCAAAATATAACAACTTTTTCTCCTTGTCCCTTGGATAAGGAGAATATCAGGATATATCCTCTTTACAGAATTACTTTGTCCAAACTGCTAAGGGAGTTATTTCTATTTAAGTTTATAATCAGCCTATTTTGTGCAACAGGGTGTTTATAAATACATGCAGTGTTCATCACTAGACCTTCTGATCTTACTGTGTGGTGTTGCTGTGCAGTAGCTCCACAATATCTGTGCTTCTGCCCCAGATGGTTTCCTTCATCTCTGAATGAGATGAATCTTAATGTATGGCCCAAGTCTGGGAGTCTTAAAGCAGTCAGCTTTTGACCAGTGATAGGTATTCCTATTGGCTAATTTAAAGCTAACTTAGATATGGCCACAGTGCACTGCAGCCACTGTAAGGTATCTTGCAGCCATCAAGCTATTAGGTCCTATCAATGTCAAAACAATTACACACTGCATTCTGGAAGAACACTTGCTGTCCTGTGGTTGTCCCCTAAAGTACTTGTTTGGAGGTTGCTTAAAGAGGTATTGTGCTGTCTCACTGTTAATGCTTTCAGCATAACATCATAAAGCTTCTCGTTCATACTGGTGAATTATTATCACAATTTGGGTATGTTATATTTTTATCTCTTCGATCCAGATATATCATAGCCATGTTATTTTCTTTGTATAGCAGCATTCTTACACTATGTATGTCTGCTGCTATCAGGATAACCACCTTGTATAAGATAAAGAAGACTGTTGCTAAATAAAGAAGAAGGTAGAAGAAATGGGACCAACAATAGAGCTGGTATAGAAATTGTTGCCATAGCAATCTCTTCAGATGAGCTAGAGAATGTTTAATTGCCCAGCCCATCATGGTATGGTTTATAACTTGATTACTCAACTCGCAGAGGGGAAGTAGTCATGGGGCATGCCTTAGAAATCTTATTCTCATCTGGGCTCCAAATGTGAATGGCCAGATTCAGCTTGATATGATTAGAAATAGCAGAAATGTTTTTGTCTAGACTGCAAACTCCCTGGGATAGGAACCAGGTTCTTTATTATTTGTCTATAAACCACCTATTTTGGGTGGTGTCCTTGAGCATGGAGCATAAATAATGACATGGAGATAATGAAAACTAACCCAACATAAATCTGTGCATTGGTGACTGAGCAATCGCAGTTTATTGAGAGTGTTTTGCAGGCCAAGGACACTGTACTGGCATACTGTCCTAACTTACTATGTGGTGATTTCTTCCCTCTGTTTCTGTCACCCATAGATCCACTCAGTGCTGCTGCTTCTTTCCTATCCTCCAGGTAATCCAGGACATCCATCCATCTCAGATTTCATTTTTACAGTCTGTTGCAGCCTAGCCTTTCTGTATCCAGAGGATTCTGTCTCTGGTATCTAGATCTTAATAGCATAACCTGTTGAATATACTCCAGTGCTGCCTTCTACACTTGGCAAGCACACCATAACAAAACCTCCAGAATAATGGCTCATTCCATCCCTTCTACACCCTCTCCAGCATTTTCCCTTATATGTCTCCAGAGAGCACAGCCATTGCAATCCTATCCAGGTGACATTATATTCTCAGTTTCCAAGCACATTTTGTCTCTTCATATCCAGTGGACTGTCTTTCATTGTACATACTTTTGGGGCACAGATTATCCTTGTTTAGATGGGTACAGATTGGTTTGACACCTAACACAGAGAGGGTCTAAATGGTGCATGTATTTTGGGAGCAGGTGTTATATAATGACAGAGAAGTGCAAATAGCATTCAGCCTTTATGTCAAATTTCAGAAAGTCTGTTCTACATGACAGTGAAGACTTGTTAGATTTATTTAGATGCAGTCTGAAAAGTTAATTGGAATGAGGCTGGTTGGCCCAGCTTGTTGGCAAAAGTTGAATCAGTCTTCCCATATCTACAGTAAAGAACAGTACAGAAGAATTCTCAAGTGCCAGGTGAATAATATGTAGCCAAAACATGGTAATAGTGATTATCTATGTGGTGGTATGAGGCAGAAACAATCTCTGCAACTAATGCACATTATGCACATCCCACAAAGCATGAAGTACTACACCCCCCAGGTTTCTTTATTTGAACATGCTCTATTGCTGGTCACTTTGGATTTTTATTGTTTTAGTTTTAAAAAAATCCCTATTTGCTCTGCTTGTGAGATTTTCTAAAACCTCAACAAACAAGGTGCACCACCAAAATGGAAACTATTTTTTACATTTTTAATTCACATTTTACATTGCATTTCTATCTTCTGGACTCTTCTTTTGTTACGTCAGTGAGTGCAAAATTCACTGTAGCACTGGGAGCAAGTCCCACCTGTGCTAAGAGCACATCTGCTCCATACCAGTTTACTGCTTTCACCACCTGCATTCATGTTACAGAGGAACATCTGGATACCATTACAATTATAGAAGGTGCAGGTTTTATTCTTGGTGCAGGATTGGACTCTGATTTCACAACCTTCCTCAAATAGTGAAGTTCATGTAAATACATCCTGTCTCATTTTTAATCAACATGCAATTAACATCAATAAAACATAATGGATCTTTATACTAACTATATCTTCATCATCAAACATAATTGGGGTAGTATTAATGATGCTAAAGAATAAAGGCTGTGAATTCAGCCCTCATCATCTGGGAGAGAATTGTGCTCCTTATATAGTTTCCTCTTTTCAAGTAGCAAATTGGTTGTGGATTTCTTTATCTCACAGAAAGAGATGGAAAGCATAAGGCTAACTGGTTCTTGCTGACTTAAGATCTGTCACACAGACAGGAGCAGACACTATTTATAATTCTTCAGAATTGTTTCTAGAATATATTCCTAATCTTCCCACCCAGCAAACTGTAGGAAAATGCCACTGTCCTTGGTTTGAATATGAGAGTGTTTGCATGTACAGCATGGTATAAATCCATTCCACAGCCATGGCTAGATAAAGAAACAGACCTCAAGGTTAATAAGTGAAAGGGGGCATAGAATGGAGAAGGGAAAATACAAAAGTGATTTAACAAATTCCAACTGGGAAAGAATATGGAGCTGTACCTGATGCATGTGCTTCCTGCATCTTTATGGCAGTATTTTAGAAATGTGAGAGACTGTTACTTTGCCGGAATAGACAAGGAAGCATAAATGTAACCACAATGTGTAATCCTTGAGGCATTTTAGGTCGTTTACAAATGTGTTCACACCATTTTATCAGTCAGGCATTGCTAAACAGGTGTGACCATTTCCTCCTGACACATTTTCCCTGTTTCCTTCTTGTATGAGGAAATTCAGACTTTTTACTTCTGGCTATGGTTATTTTAACACGTAGAGGAGACATGAGCAGTTTGTGCACTTGCTGAGTAATGGATTACTAAACACAGCATATTATGTGTAGGCAGAAGCTAGGTTTTATATTAATTCCTGAAAGACTGTATTTCCAAAATAGTTTATCACAGCAGATGATCAATTCAGCAATATTCTATCTGTGATGTTGTATCACTGCAGAGAGAGAACATTTTTTGAAATAGCATTTTCTGGATATAAGGATCAAACCTTGAGCTTTCAGAGATATTTGTACTCTGCTGGAGAAGTACATTATAGTTTGGCGCAGATCTTCTTTTTATCATCCATAGTTTTCAACAAAGGATTTTGTTGTATGGAAGATAATGGCAGTGCATATATTCAGTTCGCCCCTCTGAACTGTTTCAGCTGTCCTCCTCCTCCCAAGGTTTTATGTACATTATCCAGACAGCTGTCTTCCCCTCTATTCTGTATGTAATGGCAATGCTTTTTGCTAAGGTATGTACCTTTATGTAGTCTAGGCCTGTCTTTTCCACTATCTTCTCAGATATCTTAACTTCAGTTATTATAAAACATGGTTTATGTTGTATTTGTATAGAATGAGAAGAGGAAATTCTCTATTTGAAAGACTTTATTTTTCAATTACATCAGTAAGTTCTACATCATTTATATATAATAAAATATGCTATCCTTGCCTATGAACTGTGTCTTACTGTTATTGTTTTCATCCTTATCAGGTTAAACTGTAAATCTGTTCAAAACTTTCACTAAATAACTTTTGGCTAATTTCTTCACCTAAATATCTTGCAAAAGCAGGGCAACTTCCTCAACATGACTCCATATCATCTGCATCTCTTCTCTGCTCAG